TAAGAAATGAAGGAGGCGCCTCCCTGGTGGCGCAGCGGTTGAGCGCTGGGTTGCAAAGCTGCCCGCAGCCTCTGCAGGGCCGGTTCCATCCCTGGCTGCTCCCCGGCCACCGGAGGAGGGTCCCACATGCCCGCTGCTCCCCTCAGCAGTGTACTTCGGTCCTTCTGCCTGCTCTGCAACCCGCTCTGGCTCTGGTGAATTCTCTCACCCTCCCGCGCTTCTGACTGTACCCAGTGCTTGTATAAATAAATAAATAAATAAATAAATAAATAAATAAATAAATCTTTGAAAAGAAAAAAGAAAAATAAATGAAGGAGTTTACTGTGCACAGCTTTTGTAAACTGCAGCATCATTTTGGTTGCTGTTTTCACTAAGAAGTTTCCTGGTTTCTGAATACTGAAGAGCAGGGAGGTAGTGGTGACTGGTGTTAAGAACACTTCAAGGTGGTAGTGGTAGGAAAGGAAGGTAAAATAAAATATAAGAACAGATGAGGTTTGAATGAATTGGTGAAGTGGTCCTAGGACTCTGGTCTGTGTTTTATACCATTTCCTTCACCTTTCCTTATTTCTTTTACACTTGGACTCTCTTACTCCTTACCCATCTCCTGTACTGAGACTCAATTGTATACAACCAGTTATAAGAAAGTATAAATAAGAAACAATGTAGCTTTCAAGGAAAAGAGGTAGAGAATTTTATTTTTTAATGAAATGATTTTACGTGATTTTAAAATAAAAGCCAAAGCATGATGCTCCAAGGGGGGGGGGCAATAAAATGATAGCATTAACACTATCCTACACAAAAATGTTTTCTATCAAAAAGGACTGGATCCACATCAATCAACTTAATATCTGAGTGTGCTCAATTAGTATTTATACATCCCAATTTCATATCATGTAAAATAGAAATGAAAGTTAAATATGGTATGTATGATTTAGAGGGGGAAGAGTAGTCACTATTGTTGCCTTATTTCTTCTAGCAGTTCAACTCAATACGCCAGGACAAACTTTGGAATTCTATTGTATCTACTGGTATTAGTTGTGTTTGTGGTCCTGCTTAATGAAGGACTGTTAGTAGACTACAAACGTGGAGATGAAAATTCATCCTCCATAACTGAGTGATCAGGATACTAAAGTAGCACCAAATCACAGGTATTAATGCAAATCATTGGTATTAATGGAGAGTTTGGCATTTTCTGGAAGCTCCCCAGAGTTACCAGGTTGATTGTTTTTGTAACAAACACTGGTATAATGAGTAATTCTAAAATATTTGCTTAAAATCTGAGAGGGGAAGCTGTGGAGATAAATATTTGATTCACTTTCAGAGCATTAGTTTTCAAACAGAGCTGCTCAGTGGAATTGCTTGGAAAAAATTAAAATGACTATTGCCTAAGTCCTACTGCAGAGATTCTGACTATATTGGTATATGGTGCATTCTGGGGATTGAATTTTTTAAAACTCAGACAATTCTAATGTGCAGTTCAGATGGAGATCCACTCATCTGTGGACCCAGGCAGTGAATCTGCACTACAGCTGAAAATTGGGTGCTGAGCCCTTGTGACTTACAGGACAGACCGAGGACCAGTAGCATCTACATCCTCTCATTAGGAATGTAGGCTCTCCAGCCCTCATCTCAGACTTAGGTAATAAACGATGCATTTGAAAAAGATTCCTGAATGTTCCTATGCATACTGAATTTTGAGAAGCATTAAGGCAACTGCACCCCCAGAAGTTCTTGAATCTTTGGGTTAAGGCTGTAATTAAAAGTTCCTTTCTAGCCCTGATCTGCTCCACTTAGCCCACAAGCTTCAATCTCAATTGAGTTTTACTAGTATGTCTCCCTAATGGAAAGACCTGTTTCTTTGTTATCATACATAAGTTGGATTCCAGATGAATATAAGACTTTATTTATTTTTTTTAAGTCTTCAATACTGGGTTTATTATGAAACATGTGATAAGTTTTCCAAGTTGCACATTTCATAAAACAGAATTTGCTCCTATGCACACAGTAGAACTCTGAGAACTGAGAAGAAAAGAAACAGAATGACAACTTTGAATTTCTCTGTGTGAAAAAGACACACAGAGAATCAAGGTAGCACTCCTTGGTGTCACGTGGGAATGATTCGGTTTTCCATGTAGCTTATATTTGTGTCTTTAAATAGGAAAAAATTGGCTTGAACATTAAGCCTATCATGAGTTTTGATGGCAACATTTTGATATATTTTTGAGATTTATATTTATCAAGGTAATGTGATGACACTATATGTCTCAGTTGTGCATCAGTGAAAATCAACATGTGTATATACACCCCATGAAGTTCACCAGTAAAGTTCAATGCTATCCTTTAGCCTATGGTAATCAGTCACAAAATATGTGTTTCTCTAATAGCTAAGATTTGGAAACAACCCAAATGCCCAAAAATAGATGACTAGATCAAGAAGATGTGGTACATATACACCATGGAATATTACTCAGCATTCAAAAAAGATAAACACATGCAGTTTGCAGCAACATGGATGGAGCTGGAAGAGATCATGCTCAGAGCAATAAGCCAGAAAGAAAAAGAAAAATACCAGATGGTCTCACTCATAGCAGGAATCTAGAAAACTTAAATAAGGGACCAGGAAAAAGAATAACTATAAGAAAGAAAATATCAAAATCAACAAATAACTATTAACAAGAGACTCTCTATGGGGGGTGGGGGGTGGGGAAAGGAGGGCTTGGGGTAAAAATAAGGGGGTTGTAATTGTAAGGGGAATATAAAAATAAAATTTAAATTAAAAAAACAAAAGAAAAGAAAATAGAATATAAGAAAAAGAGTATTTAGAAGATGGAAATATAGAATATTTCAAATATAGAAGAAAACTTGGGGGAAATAAGTGGAACGCACTCACACTTCTGTAAGCATGTTTTGCAGATTAACATATAGGCCAGTTGTGAAGGTGTTATATAATGATACTACAGTGTATTTCTATTAATAATACCCCTCACTTTATTTAAAAAGATTGAATGCAAGACTTAAAAAAAAAAAAAATCTAGGACCTCCCCTGGTGGCGCAGCAGTTGAGCACTGGACTGCGAGGCTGCCTGCAGCCTCTGCAGTGCCGGTTCGTTCCCCAGCTGCCGGCGAGGGTCCCACCAAAAAAAAAAAATAAATAAATAAAAAATAAAAATCTAAAAGAAATTTCCAAGCAGGAAAAAAGTGTCCATAAGCAGTTGTTTCTAACTCCAGTTGCATATTTAGAGCTACTGGGGACTTTAAAAATACGTGTCACATCTATGAATTCTGATTTTGATTTTGGGAGGTGGAATTCCAGCATTGGTGTTTTTTAAAGCTCTCAATGCAGTTAGTGTACAGCTGGCTTTGAGAACTACTTATCTACATTAATAAAGCAATGGCAAGAAAATAAATAGAAACACCAATATTAATATCTGACTTTATAAAGCAAAACATTTCATATCATCATGTTTTTGCCTTGTCAAATTTTCAGGTAAGTATAAAAATTAGCTTGTGTTCCCTCAGGGCCTGCCAACTGAAGAGTGGAAAGAGACACCATCAGGTGCTAGTTGTCAAGTAGACATCGGCTTTCATTTAAAACCCACAAAAAAACCATGCTATTCAATACCATTTTCTAACCTAGGGACCAAAATTGCATTTCAGTTGAAATGCTGGTCTTTGAAAATGAGTTGGTCTTCAAAAACAAGTTGAAAATGACTAAGACGTCGGATAACTAAATGGGTATTAAGCATATAACTTGACTGAAGAAAAACAGGCATGAGCAGAATTAGCTCTAAATTGCTGCCAAAGAATTTATAAAATAAATCCACAAAGTATAAAAATTGAATAATATGTAGTTAAAAACTCCTGTCAAATAAATTGCTTTTATTTCTATCTTAAAAACAAGAGCTCAAAGTACAGATTTTTATTGCAAATTAAATTGGTTGTTCCTAAGTAAGTCATCTTCTGTTTGGTTCCTTAGGGTTTTTATCTATTTATAAATACTTGTTCTTTAAGTAAGCACTGGAAATATAATTTGTGTAAGTTTTTATTAATGTATTGCTCAGGAAGGGATTTTCAAGTACAAAGATAAAAAAAAAAAATGTTATCAAAGCCATACAACGCTCTTTGGAAGAGCTTTAGCCAGATGCTAGAAGATTTCTTTAAACCTGACCTTGTATGATGAGGACTGGTTTTTGAAAACTGATGATTTTCATTCTTAATTTATGTCATTAGGTACTATCAACATAAAATTCTAGCGATCACAGGCTATAAATGATCTTATTTTTAAAAACTTTTCTCTTTTCCATTAGGCATACAGTCTTTCTTAGGCCAAAATTTTTAAGTTAAATAAGAATCTTTAATGATCTATGAAGAAAATCTATAGCAGTAAATTGTATTTAAATATAAAAGCTTTATATACTTATGATTAAATGTTAAATAAATGATGAGAACAACCTCATATTATGTCTATATTATAAACCTTTCTCATAAATCTATTGTTGAAATACTGCCATTTTATCAAATGTTAAAAGCAAATCACCTAGGAAAAAATTAATCATCTTGGACAAGTTTGGGGTATTTAACAATCAGTTTAAATAGGTCATTGTTTTTTTACCCACTGGGTGATTATAGTTTATTTTGTTCTTTTACAGCTGTTGGAGTAAGCAGAACTATCTTTACTTCCACTAATTTAAATGTCATGTTAAGAATGCATAATCAAACATTTAAGAGGCAAAATTATGAGGCATCTTGAGGGTAGAGAAAATTGCACAGAATAGGTAATGCTTCCAGTCTCTTCTGGAAACTACCTATGTTACCGCAGGTTAAATATTTCAGTGTCAGGCAGAAACCCTACCCTTAAAATCTGGAGGTTTGACTACATCTGCTCTGAGTTGACTTTCGATTCTCAAAACACCTATGGATTTTGTCATGGTATAGTGTGAAATACAAAAAAGTCTAGGATAATGTATTTCAATTTTGAATTTTGATTTCGAGGATACTCACAGTTAGGGATGGTGGTCCTGGAGGTCCCACATCTCCCTAAAACAGATAAAAGAAAAGTTACAGTTATCTATTGTTCTTTTTTAACATTTTATTTATAAATTTTCTTAATGGATAGAAGCAATATCTAAAAAAATCTGAAAGGAAAGAAAAATAAAATTTCTTCTTGATAAAACCTTATGTATAGTAAAAAATTCACTGTGATTTTTTTAACTCTCATGATATAAATATTATCTTACCACCAAACTTTGTGCAATAACAGAGCTTGTTTTGAAAGCTAAATAATCTAATTTTTCTGTTCTTTTGTCTATTAATCCAAAATTAGAAAGAATATCTCTTCAACTGTGGGTATTTGCTAATGGAGCAGCTGGGAAGTGTCATAACAACAAATAATTTTTCTGACTAAGTTAGTATGAGGATCAGCAAAAATAACAAGTGGATTTCCCCACTTCATGCCTCCCAGCTGCAAGAAGCAGTCCCATGCCTCTTCTAAAGCTCTGTTGAATTGGCATTGCACTTCCTATCCTGTAAAAGGCAATGTTAAATACTAACATTGCCCTGCTGACCCATGTGAATATAAATCACCAGGTAGATATATTGAGAAACTGTTCAAAACCTTTTTAAAGTGCGCCATCTGAAAGTTCAGTTTTCTAATTTATATAACATCTATATTCTTTATTGTATCAGGCATCCTATTTATTCATACACACTGTGAGCCATTAATGCCAGGCATCATTGCTCTGACCCTTGTTTAAGTAGACATTACAAAGGTCATATTCTGTGGGGTTTGGGCACTGAGATGTTGAATTCTCCCATGGAGACTCTCTCTATAACTTTCTCTTTTCTCATCTAATATAATCACCTCAAAAGTTAAGACTTAGTATTTGTAATCATTATTTTTTGGAACAATTGAATAAAAATAACCAATAGTTGTTACAGAACATTGATGTAACTTCAATCAGTCATTAAAGATTGACTTACGAGATCAATTTTAACATAGAGGTAAATATTGAAGATAAACAAGGATTTCTTAATGTGCTAAGAACAGAGAACAAAATATATTACAAAATACCCCCACATACAATTCTCATCAAGTTGGGATCATCCAAAGACCTTATTCAAAATGATTCTTGATTTAACCACGTCTTAAGTCTCTTTTCAAGGTCACTACCATTATGCCATTATGAACAGCACATGAGAAAAAGTGGCAGGAAATGGAGCATTCAAAGAATAAGATACAAAATTAGCCTTCTTTCCCTCAAAGGCCACCTGCTTCACCACTACAGTAGCTGCTCAGTGCTATTGGCAAAATTTCCCCCTACAAGACACAGAAGCCAATTTGGTGATGGAATACCGAATGCTGTTAAGCGAGGGAGAGAAAAGGAAAATTTTATAAATACAAATCAATGTCAACCAGCAATGGTGCATTTAGTCTCTTTAAACTAATTAAAGGAACTGAAAGGCTTTTCTCTTTCAGATTTTTTCAACATAACAGCCTTTGGTTAATGTTAACAAAATCAACTTTTGGCAGTTAACCAGTATCAATGAAAAGTCATTGCAAGGTTCCCAGGTCTTTCTTAAGAAAATATAGCACTTTCTTGGGTGAATACAATACCTTTTCTCCTTTTGGGCCAGGTAGACCACGAGGACCCAAATCACCTTTCAAACCCTGTACAAAGAAGACAATCAATGTGATTTCTATACACAATTCACAGAAAGCTTCCATTTCTAACAAGTCATTAGTGACAAAATAAATTATAATTGACTGCACTCCCGAATCCCATTCTTCAGTGTGTACTATAGAGAGAAACAGAGACAACTGGCACTAAAATGATAAGCAACATCTGCGCAGTGGTGGGTACAGATACATTAAATCAGCGCGAGTCCTTGATACTGCATATTTGTGCAACTTTGCTTCCTGCTAAAATTACATTAATTCACCATCTGGGAGAACATCATTTAGTCTATATGAGCTTTTAAGTATCCACTTTGGATTAAATTTGTGGATGTTGTAAATATCTCTGATTTAGCATTGATTTGGCCTTTATAAAGCTTGCCAAAAACTCAAGAGTTAAATCAAAAACATTTTTACGCCTTTATCAAGAAATGTAATTGTGGAGGGAAAAGGAAAGCAGGATGTATTCTATTCCTTTCACTCACAAAGTTAGACTTAAAATGTAACTTCTTTCTTGTTTTAAATTATATTTTAGTTCTCTCCCTTTTTAAAACCTCAATTTATAAAGCTATCAAATGAAACTTTAAGATACAGACAACATATCAGATAAAGATATTCATAAATCTTCTGGTCTCTTGGGAGTTTTAATGGGTATCTGTTTGATCTGACTCAGAAATGACAGCTTTCAGGAAGACTTCGATAGATTTCACTGGAGGAGATCAGTTCAACAGCTGAAGGCATTCACAGTGTAAATAGAAAAAGAGTAAGACAGACACATCCTGACTGTGTGGTAAATAGGAAAAATATCTTCCTTTGTCCTTAACACATGTGAGGGTAGAAGAACAATAATGGAAAATAGAAATATTCTGAAGCTACATAAAGCATGGTAAATCTAGGTGTCTCACTGTTCATAGCTGAGAGATCCAGCTATTACTGCACTGACATTTTGAAATGAATAAACAATGCCAAATGCCATCACCTATAGCTATTTTCTATGGAAGTCAATGACGAATTTAAAGGAAACAATGAAAACTGAAGACTTCATCCTGTGGCAGAGAGTATGTGAAAACTATAATCTTATGTTTTAAAGGGTAACAATTTAATGAACGTAAACAGAATTCTAATTGACAAAAAAAAAACTTTGCAGTTTCATAAACCTCTATTTGAAGAAAACTCATAGCTATGTTTCTTTCATCATTACCAGGAGTATTTATAGAAAAAGGATGACTGAAAATTTAAATCATCCTTGAGATTTAATACTTTCATATTATTGGAAATATCTATTCCTATCCAAATCAAGCCACACAAACTCTGTTTATACGTGACTCTGGTGTAAACTTGATACCAACGTATTTTGAAAACTTGAGGAGAGAAAAATTCCATTTCTGCATAGAAATTTGCCAATAGTTCATTCATTTACTCATTGTTTTATTCAGTAGACATTTACTGTATCCCTCTTTTAGCCTTTAGCCTTGCACATATAGTTTTCGAGTACTTGGAATAAGACAAGTCTAAATTGAGATATGCTGTGAGTGTAAAATATTACTGGGCTTTTGGTATTTAATATAAGAAGAAATGTAAAAAGTCGTGTTAATAATTTTTATTGATTACATATTGAAATTTTTACATTTTGGATATATTGGTTTAAATAAAACATTATTAAAATTAGCTTTATATTATTTTTTTACTTTTCTTAATGTGGCCACTAGAGAATGTAATACATTTACATTTGTCTTAAAATTATTACATTTATGAATATATAATAAGTACAATATAACATTTTCTATTGGATAGTGATATTTAGAAATATAAAAAAACAAGAAGTTGAAAAAGACTCTCATTGACCTAATTTTAGTCAGATCCTTCTTGATTAGTTCTCAATGCTGGCCCCTGTCCTATGTTAGCAAGAATCATGTTAGGTCAGTTTTGAGATACTCCCCCACCATTGATATGTGATCAGTTTTCTCATTCCTCACATTTGATATATAATAAGTCTTTGCCCTGCCTTTAGCAAGCATCCTGTTAAGTCAATTAATCAGGAATCCTCCTATCCTTGAAGTCCCTCTCTCAGTAATTTTCCATTCACTGACCCCATACCTCTGCTGGCTCGAATCCCCATCTGTACTTATAATCTTTCTCCCCTATTGAAATATCCCTACTGAAGAAAGGGAAGAGCACAAGAGACTGTGGTAATGGTTCACAGGTGACTTTGTGGTAGGAATTTTATGGGACCTACACCTGAGAGGAGAAAGCAAACTGTACAAAAATTAATAACAATGTAAAATACATAATAACAAGGAAATATCCCTATTGCAAAAGTCTTACCTAAAAAGTCTTCTTTACCAGACCTCCTCTGGTGGCGCAAGCGGTTCAGCACCGTGCTGTGAAGCTGTCAACAGCCTCTGCAGCGCCGGTTCAATCCCCGCCAGCCAGTGAGGGTCCCACATGGTGCAGCAGACCTCCCCTGTCGCGCCCTCTGCTCCCCTCAGCAGTGTATTTCATTAGTCTGCCCATTCTGTTCCCTGCTCTGTCTCTGGTGAATCCTCTCACACTCCTGCGCATCTGGCCTGTACCCTGGTTCTTGTATAAAATAAATAAATAAATCTTAAAAAAAAAAAAGGCTTCTTTATCATTTTAACAAGTGCCAGAATAATTTTTTCCTTAACAAAATCAAGATTTCTGTCCTCATGGAACTCATGAGAGGGTAGTGACTAACAATAAACAGGTCAATAGGCTGAAGCTGCCAGAGTGGAGGGGAGCCAGCTGCTAGCTCAGTTGGGGTAGTCAGAAGCAGATTCTGTGTGAAGGTGACATTCCTTGTTTCAAAGGATACAACCATACAACAATCCTATCCTGGGAAATATAACTGGGGGTAGAAGGTACAGCAACAAGAAAAGCAGCAAGGTGAAAGGAGTGTCATGATCAGGCAAGTGAGGGCCAGACTGAATCCAGGTCAGCCATGGTCATGGCACACAGAGAACTGCAGGCTGTGGTGAGGAGGGTGGGTTTTGTTCTAAGTGCAGGAGAAACCATTTAATTGTTTTAAGCAGAAAGATGCCATGACGTGAGTGTGTTTTGTTTTGTTTTAATCACATTGGCTACAAAGACACAATAGACTATAGGTAGCAAGAGTGGAAGCAGAAAAAGAACTATCACAACTTCCCAAGCAAGAGATCAGGATGGCTGGGACAGGTTTGTGACAGTGGCACTACTGGGAGGCAGTATTTGTATATTTTCCAGAAGAGGGAGCAGACAAAAAGAGGTATCAAGGTCAACTGGTAGATGGCTTAAATAACTGACTAGGGGGTTGTGCCATTAATAAGCTGAGAAATTTATTAAAGAGAGGTTTTTGCTCTTCCAGTTGTTGTAATATTAAACAGAGAAAGGATAAACATGAGGAAAGAAATGGCTGAGAAAGACAAGTATCCATTTATTCAACAAATATAACTGAACATCTACAAACCTACAAGACTAAGCTCTATCTTCCTTTGAACATACGACTATGAAACTATTTTTTTTTAAAGATTTATTTATTTATACAAGCACTGGGTACAGTCAGAAGCACAGGAGGGTGAGAGAATTCACCAGAGCCAGAGCGGGGAGCAGAGCAGGCAGAAGGACCTAAGTACACTGCTGAGGGGAGCAGCGGGCGGCAGGAGAGGTCTGCCTGCCATGTGGGACCCTCCTCTGGTGGCCTGGGAGCAGCCGGGGATTGAACCGGCGCTGCAGAGGCTGCAGGCAGCTTCACAACCCAGCGCTCAACCGCTGCGCCAACCAGGGAGGCCTGAAACTATTTTTTTAATGGAAAGAAATATTCAACAGTACATTCAGGAAAATGTGGCATGGAATTACATTTAGTAAGTTACATTGGTGTTTAAGTTATTACACTGATTAATGATCTTCACCTATGTTACAGGTTAAAAATTATTTTAAAGTATAAAATAATGAATTAAATATTTTTCAATATTCTTCCTGACAAACGAACCCTAATTTCAACTTTCTAGGGAGGGGATTCATTGGCAGTTGTGTCAGCTAACTCTCCCTGGTTCGATCAACTCTGGTCAGGAAGTGGGTAGGGAAAAATATAACCGATTGCAAGTTGAAGTGACTACTGAGGATGATTACATAAGTATATGGCAGGTGGGAAGAGATCACTTCCCTGAGATGCCTTATTTTCCAAAGTGTTCAAGGCTTCAGAGATATGGAGTTCAGGCCAGGTGGAAAAGGAAGGGCATTTTACACATAGACTTAGTTAAATTACTTAAGCTTTCCCGTAATGTAGGTATAATTAATAGTTACTTTAAAGGACTATTTTCAGGATTATATGTTGTAAAAATACTTAGTACATGGTAGGCACTTAATAAATGTTGCTTTTACATTTCAATTTCAAGTTTAAGGGATAATTAATAGTTCTGCTCAGTTTTGTACTCAGTTTGATGGATATATAACAACTGTGACTTAATTCACACAGGATAAAATGCATTTGAGAAGTACTGCATTCATCAAGTTTCTACTTTTATAGCCATTGATGCGGGCCCATGTAACTCATGTCTTCCTGTGACAAAGTACAATGTTGTTAGGGCCATGGCATCATAATAGGCTCTGAAAAACAGATCAGTAATGCTTTTCTCAAGTGCAATTTTTCTTCTCACGTCACACTAGTGCTGCTATCAATGGTTATTGAGTACTAGGGGAAAAAAGACACAGCACTCAACATAAAGCATAAAGGACCAAATGGAACAGACTCTGAATTCAATATTGAACAAGATGGGCATCTATTATCAAGGTTCTCAATAAAATTCATATGTAGAAAGATTATCAAAAGCACAGTAATTGACTGTGCATGTTATACGGAGACAGGAATAACATCTAAGACAGGATGAAACCTGAAGGACAATATTACAACTAGTATTATAAAAGCAGGCAGGCAATGAAAATATTCTTATCAGAAGACTCATGGTATGTAGCATCTTTAAAAATAAAATCTAGCATTT